TGTGATCTCAATAACAATTTTCTGAAGCGCACTACACACTTAGCATTTTAGAAGCCTCGTTCACTGCTTGCTGACCCATGCTAATGAGCAATTACTTCTGGAATGGACTGAGGCATGCTGTGTGCATAATGCCTTGGCTTCGTTTAAGAGAAAGGGAAAACTGAAGAGCAGATATAAACCGCCTGTGGTCAGTTCCAAGCAGATGTCCACAATCCACACCCACCACATGGAAACACATCTTTGTTTTCTATAGTCTTACCTAGCAACCCCGCTGGCCACCAGCTTTCCAGCATTCATGTTCTTACAAGGGAAACCTTCGTCAGGTGCAAGTTAGACACGAAAACTGCGTAAGAGCTGGGCCTACTTCAGGGTCTACTCACGCATGCAGTCGCCTCCGTACCAGCCCGCTCGGCACTCGGCACAGTAGATCCCCTTCACGTAGAAGTCATCCAGGGCCCCGCCCCAGGAGCCATTGCGACAGGTCTTGCAATTTTCAAAGATGGTGCAGCCTGCAGCATTTCCAAGAAGAGGTGTGTTAGCATTAGTAGTTGCTGGTGCTGATTGGCCATGAGAGACATTTTGCACCTTCTCTGGATCTTATATCAACTAAGGGCATCTGGGTAGAGGAAGCTACAGAAGTCCTCAGGGGAAAAATAGTCATTCTGGTGAAAGTCTAGAGTCAGCAGGATTCAGGCTAAGGCGTTTTGGAGAGTGCTCTGACCCATCTACCTAGCTAGTGGTTGATGTTCTAAAGCAACATGAAACAACCTGTAGTGAAAGTTAGAATCTGCCAATATGTTGCAGTTTCTCTTTAGAATCATATCACATGTTTATTGTGAACTATTTAGGGACTTCAGACAAGCAAAAAGAACTAAAAACATCTAATATTCCATCAACCAGAGAAAACTACTGATAATTCTCTCTTTTGCTCTCTCTCTCTCCACACACACACATTTAGACTTATACTATATACTGTATTTCTGCTTTTGTACCTTGCTGTATTTTTAAAAATTTTTTATTTATTTATGCATACAAGAACTGGAGTACAGTCCAGAGGTGTGGGAAAGGGGAAGGATTCACCAGAGACAGAGTGGGGAGCAGAACAGCAACTCTACTGAAGTACGCTGCTGAGGGGAGTAGTGGGCGGGTCAGGAGAGCCCTGTCATACCATGTGGGTCAGCTCCCTGGCCAGGGATGGAACTTGTGATACAGTGGCTGTTGATAGCTTCACAGCACTGTGCTTTAAGCCCTTGTGCCACCAAGGAAGGCCCTCTAACTTAATTTTTCATTTGAGTGCTAAATAGCTGCCCATTTCATTACTCTTCCATGCTATATACTACTATAACCAAAGTATGCTACTGGCGACAACTTCAACTTCTTTTTTTTTAAACAACCTTAATTTCTAAGGGG